TTGATCCCAATAAACAATTATTTCAGTTTCAACGGATGATGATAACGCATTGATGACACTAGAACTGTTTGTCGTGTGTTGCAAAGAGAGTTGTGTTATGAATTCAACCAGTTCATCATCGTTTGTAATAGAATTATATCAAATATTTATTATCATGATGTTAAAAGACAATTTTATATTTAAAACATAAAGGAATAATAATAATATTATAAATTAAACTGAATACATACGTGAGATTATTAAATATAGTTTAGTTAGACCAGTCTTTATATATTTTAGAAATTTCAAAAAATGCAATTTTTTAAGTGTCATTTTACAAAAATGCAACACTTTTGAAATCTTTATAAAAATATCACTTTTTCAAAAATTTTTTTTTTATATTATTTATGTTTGAGTTAATTATATTCTATTAGGGTTTAGTTATGAGGGTTTAAAGGGTTTTAGGGGTCAAAACATTTCTTAGGGTTTAGAATTTTAAGATATATGCTTTATAAATCTATAATTAGTGGCATTTTTACAAATCGACATCCTTAAGTGGTATTTTTGCAAACGTGCACACAAAAAATGGCATTTTTGTAATTGCCCTATATATTTTTGAGTTTTCTTATTCAAATTTTTATTGATAATATATTAAATAAGAATATTGTGTAATTTTGAACTAGATTAAAAAGTCCCATTAAATTGTGTTCAAAGACATGGTAATTAATAGTTTCTTTTGTTTCTTATTTTTTTTAATATTTATTAGAGTTCATAATATATAGAGAAATTTAAAAAAATGCCACTTTTCAAGTGCCACTTTACAAAAATGCCACATTTTTGAAATCTTTACAAAAATACCATTTTTTCAAAATTATTTTTTCTTTATATTATTTATGTTTGGATTAATTATTTTCTATTAGGGTTTAGTTTTGAGTGTTTAGGGGGTTTTAGGTGTCAAAACATTTTTTAGGGTTTAGAATTTTAAGATATAGATTTTATAAATCTATAATTAGTGGCATTTTTGTAAATGGACACCCCTAAGTGGCATTCTTGCAAATGTGCACACAAAAAGTGGCATTTTTGTAATATATATTCTAATTTATGTTTAAAATAGTAATATTACATTCATTTTTTTTTTACCAAAAAATAGTCATTTGTTTAATACTGTGATAGTGTGATCTCGTAAGAAATTTGCCATGTATGAAAAATTACCTTTAAAGCATGATAATTGTAAACTTTTAAATTCCCATGCTAATTGAATTTTTGAATTTATAAGAAATTAAAGCTATTTCTTGAATTACCAGTTTTTGTAACGTTACCAATTTTGTAGAAAATTTTAATAAAATATACAGTTGGTAATTTTATGAAATTGGTTTAAATTTTAGGGAAATTAGGCCATATATTATTTATTGACTCTATATTTAATTATTAATATTACATAAAATAGAATTTACTAACTAACATTCTAATTACTTGAGATTTCAATTTTATCTTTAATGTATTTATGGTAATTGGTCTCATAACTCTTTTCATTAC